GCTGTCAGCACTCTGCTCAAGAGAGGTTTTGAGGTGCCTGGCAGGCCCATCAGTGTGGGGCTGGGCATCGAAACTCAGCAGCAGACAGTCCTGATTTTAATGATGGAATGAGGCGTACCACACTCTCCCATGGTCCAGGCATTTTTTCACAACATAATTACCATAAATTGCTCATTTCCAGGCTGTTTACTAAGTGTGTGTGTGCGCAAACGAGCAGATATTTCTGGCAACTGCCTGATCAGCAATCTGCAATTAGACCCCAAGGAAGGACCTGCTCATGTGGTTAGGGGCCATTAGCCACTCAAATAATGACGTCTGCCATAATTTTCATACCTCATCCTGTCCCAGATCTTATCTTCAAACTGTACTAAAAAAAAAAAATGCCTAAGTTTCCTAGAAGAGATCAACCTCGTTTTAATAGCTCTACTCAAAACACCATGTTGGTGAAGGGTTTTAGGGTGAATAATACCTACCAACTACTGAGGGCTTCCCACGTGCCCAGCACCGTATGACAGTCTTTACCAACAGCGTAACTCGCTGAGCCCACACAAGACCTCTGTGCTGGTGCTGTAGATGCTGTCATCCTCCTCAGTGCACAGGTGCAGGAACTGAGGCACTGAGAAGTTCAATGGCTCGCATCTAGAAGGGAAGAGAACTTGGACCCATATTGAGGTCAGTTTGACGTTGATGCTCTATACTGACACAGGCACCGAGTGTCGTTGGCTGGGAAGGTGCTCACAATACAGTGAAATGACGGAAGGAAGGGTAGGCAATATGATTTTGTATAAAGAGCCAAAATAAGGTATTGGTTTTAAAATAATGAAACATTTATTTAATGTAGTGACTCTCAACTGAGGGCAAAAGCAACTGCCTCAAGGGGCATTTGGAAATGTGTGGGGTCATTTTTGGTCATTTTGGTTGTCACATTACCTGTTGGTCTTGGTGGTCTTGGTGGTCTCCCAGGAGGCTGAATGTCCAGCGGTGGGCAAGACAGTTCTAGACAGCGAGGAATTGTCTGCTCCCAGCGTCAGAGAGTGCTAAGAAACGCTGATACGGTGGAGTGGTGGTAATTTAAAATGACGTTCTAGGGCTGAAGGGTGGCAGATTCAAGTGCCTTCGGGTGAGACAGGGACCGAAGAGTACATGTGCCTTCTTAGGGCCAAATCCAAATCTTTAAAGCATGCATCAAACAAAATCATCTAGGTGCTGAATGTGGCCTGTGGGCCCCCAGGTCGGAGCTTTTTAATGGAGGTTTTTCTGATTTAGAAATGTGTTTATGATATAGTAAGTGAAGAGGAAAAAGCTGCTAGTCACTATGATGCCAAGTTTAAAAAAGACAGCATATGTGTGCACATATATTTACACACATGTATAGGAAAATATATAGAAAATTTTGTGGAATGAAATTTGGAGTGATTTTGTGAAATGCTTCGATAGTTTGCACTTTTAATTCTTCCACTAAAAGTATCTATTAGTTGCCCAATTTTTAATAAAGAGAGAGAGGAGCCTAAATAATTAAAACATTGAGTGTGGTTTCAGAACATAGTCTTGGTGGCTTCCTGGCTGTCCCCTTCTGTGGAAGAGGGAGAATAATTTCTGTGGTTAAGGACAAATAAGACATTAATTAGGAGATAAGACTAAAGCACTAGAGCAACCTTAAAAACAGAACATTGTTGGACCGGCCCAGTGGTACAGCGGTTAAGTTGGCACGTTCCACTTCGGCAGCCCGGGGCTCGCCGGTTCGGATCCCAAGTGTGGACCTACACACTGCTTGTCAAGCCATGCTGTGGCAGGTGTCCCACATATAAAGTAGAGGAAGATGGGAATGGATATTAGCTCAGGGCCAGTTTTCCGCAGCAGAAAGAGAAGGATTGGCAGCAGATGTTAGCTCAGGGCTAATCTTCCTAAAAAAAAAAAAAAGCAAATAAAAAAATAAAAATGGAACATTGTTGAGGCAGCTCTGATGGCCTAGTGGTTAAAGTTTGGTGTGTTCTGCTTTGGCAGCCCTGGTTCAGTGCTTGGGAACGGAGCCACACCACTTGTCTGTCAGTGGCCATGCTGTAGCAGTGGCTCACATAAAAAAAAAGGAAGATTGGCAACAGATGTTAGCTCAGGGCAAATCTTCCTTCTCAAAGGAAAAAGTACTTTAGGGGCCAGCCCTGTGGCCTAGTGGTTAAGTTCAGTACACTCCACTTCAGTGGCCCAGGTTCGGTTCCTGGGCATGGACCTGTACTACTCATCAGTGGCCATGCTGTGGTGGTGACTCACAAACAAAATAGAGGAAGATTGGCACAGATGTTAGCTCAGGGTGAATCTTCCTCAGCAAAAAAATAGACAAAAAAACTTTATTGCTAAAAAATGCTAACCATCATCTGAGCCTTCAGTGAGTCATAACGCCTTTGCTGGTGGAGGGTCTGGCCTCGATGTTGATAGCTGCTCACTGACCAGGGTGGTGGTTGCTGAAGGATGGGGTGGCTGTGGCAATTTCTCAAAATAAGACAACAATGAAGTTTGCTGCATCAATTGACTCTTCCTTTCATGAACGATTTCTCTGTAGCATGCGATGCTGTTTGAGAGCACATTGCCCACAGGAGAACTTCCTTCAAAGTTGGAGTCAGTCCTCTCAAACCCTGTCGCTGCTTTAAGTAATATTCTAAATCCTTGTTGTCATTTCAACAATCTTCACAGCATCTTCACCAGGAGTAGACTCCATTTCATGAAACCACTTTCTTTGCTCATCCCGAAGAAGCAACTCCTTGTTTGTTAAAATTTTATCGTGAGATGGCAGCAATTCAGCCACATCTTCAGGCTCCGCTTCTAATTCTAGTTCTCTTGCTGTTCCCACCACGTCTGCGGTTACTTCCTCCGCTGAAGTCTTGAGCCCTCACAGTCATCCATGAGGGTTGGAATCAACTTCTTCCAAACTCCTGTTAACGTTGATATTTCAATCTCTTCCCATGAATCACATTAAACATGTTCTCGATGGCTTCTAGAATAGTGAATCCTTTCCAGAAGGTTTTCAATTTACGTTACCCAAATTCATCAGTGGGATCACTACCTGTGGCAGCTATAGCCTTATGAAATGTATTTCTTAAATAATAAGAATTGAAAATCAAAATTACTCCTTGATCTATGGCCTGCAGAATGGATGCCGTGTTAGCAGGCATGAAAAAACCAATAATCTCATTGTACATCTCCATCAGAGCTCTGGGGTGACCAGGTGCGTTGTCAATGAGCATCAATGTTTTGAAAGGAATCTTTTTTCTGAGCAGCAGGTCTCAACAGTGGACTTAAGTATTCAGAAAACCATATTGTCAACAGGGATGCTGTCATCCAGACTTTGTTGTTCCAATTATAAAGCACAGGCAGAGTAGATTTAGCTAATTCTTAAGAGCCCCAGGATTCTTGGAATGGTAAATGAGCATTGGCTTCAACTTAAGTCACCAGCTGCATAAGCCCCTAATGAGAGTCAGCCTGTCCTTTGAAGCTTTAAAGCCAGGCATTGTCTTCTGCTCTCTAGCTAGGAAAGTCCTAGAGGCATCTTCTTTCAATGCAAGGCTGTTTCATCTACACTGAAAATCCATTGTTTAGCGTAGCCCCTTCGTTAATGATCTCAGCTAGACCTTCTGCAGAACTTGCTGTAGCTTCTCCGTCAGCACCTGCTGCTTCGCCTCCCGCTTTTATGCTATGGAGACAGCTCCTTTCCTTAAACCTCACGGACTGACCTCTGCTGGAGTCAAACTTTCCTCTTGCAGCTTCCTCCCCTCTCTCATCCTTCACAGAACTGAAGAGAGTTAAGCCTTGCTCTGGATTAGGCTTTGGCTAGGGGGAAGGTCGTGGCTGGTTTGATCCTCTATCCAGACCCTGAAACTTTGTCCAGATCAGCAATATGGCTGTTTGGCTTTCTGATCATTTGCTTGTTCACTGGTCTAGCACTTTTAATTTCCATCAAGAACTTTTCCTTTGTGTTCACAACTTGGCTAACCGGCGCAAGAGGCCCAGCTTTCAGCCAATCCCAGCTTTCGACATGCCTTCCTCACTAAGATTAATCATTTCTAGCTTTTGAGTTAAAGTGAGAGATGTGTGACTCTTCATTTCATTTCAACACTTAGAGGCCGTTGTAGGGTTATTTGGGCCTAATTTCAATATCGCTGTGTCTCAGGGCACAGGGAGGGCGGGGAGAGGGACGGAGACGGGGCACGGCCGTCCGCAAGCAGTCAGAACGTACACAATGTTTATCAATTAAGTTACCACCGTATTTGGGCGTGGTTTGTAGGGCCCCAAACAGTTACAATAGTAGCATCAAAGATCACTGATCACAGATCACCATAACAAATATAATAACAATGAAAAAAGGTTGAAATATTGCAAGAATCACCAAAATGTGACACAGAGATGCGAAGTGAGCAACTGCTCTTGGAAAATGGAGCAGGTAGACTTGCTGGACACAGGTTGCCACAAAACTTCAGTTTGTAAAACACAGTATCTGCAAAGTGCAATAAAATGAGGTGTGCCTGTGTTTTCTCTCTGGAGACTTCCAGCTGGCCAACATCCACAGCCCTTACCCACCCTCCCCATCTCTGCCTTTCTCTCTTGATTCTTGGTCCAAGTTTCGAGTTTAGAAAGCCACAGTATGAGAACTACAAATAAAAACAACATTTTCAAGACTTTCTACACTGCCCTTAGCGCTTGAAAACCTTGATTGGGAAAATAAGCCTTAATGGCTGTAAAAGGTTTTAAGATTCAGTCTGCAGTAGGCCAGTGGGCGGTTCTGCGGCCCCATCTCTGTGCTGATTAAATATCATTTCAAAGGCTGTGGAATTATCCTGCCTTTGTCTTAGGGTAAACTCCCTATGCAGCTGATGAAATGCATAAGCTGATTTTTAAGACAGACACATTTGTGAGGATGTAACAGCATCCACAGTCTCGGTCCTAAAACCCAATGAAGGCTTGTAGGGTATGTTTGTGTGTGTCTATTTAAGATTTGGACTTCTTCACAGACTCTCTTCCAGCGTATTTGCTGAAGTCGGACCCTCTGTGCGTCCAGCAGCAGGTGAAGGCTCTCCGGGAGCAGAGACAGAGGGGTGAGCATGTGGGCTGGGGCTTAGACATCAAATCGAGGCCCGGCCACTTGGCAGCTGTGCGACCTCAGACATGTCCCTCAGCTCTCTGAACCCCACAGAGCTCCTTATAAAAGGAGGGTGATGATGCCTAGGTCAGGATTGTGTGAGTTACGTAGGATGGTGGCGTGCCAGGGGCTCAGCACTGTGGCTGGCACCTAGTGAGTGCCCACTGGCTGTCAGGTACTAAGACTGTCGCTGCTTCTTTTGTAGAATTTGAAACTGAACTCTGGAGAGAGGAAAGCAGCGACCCCTGGGAGCCAAATGTGCCCGAGTGGGACTGGGGCGTTAGCCCAGGAGTCCTGACTGGACGCCTTGCTTCCTGCAGGTCTCTGGACGGTCTTGCGAGTGGCACTAAGTGGAGACAAGGTGCCCAGGGTGGTTCCTCCCAGGGCTCTTCCTGTTGCCCCCGAAAGAGCCTGAGCCCCGCTCACAACGTGCGGCTGCCCTGCAGAAGCTCACCATGCTGGATGAGTGAGTACAGCTCCAGCCAGCCTGGTCGCGGGCACTGGCTCCCCACGCCTTACTGTCCAGAGAGGCCTGCCCTGAGACACACTGTGACACCAGATGGCTGCTGCTGGCTGGGGGCAGGGATGGGTTGGCAGCTGTGTGAGCATCTCTGCAACCTCTAACTCTGAACTTTCTCCTTCCCCACAGCAACATGAAGCTCTGGCACGGCCTCGTGATCGCAGGGGTGTCCCTCATCCTCCAGTCCTGCCTCCTTGCAGCCATCACCTGCCTGCTTGGCAGGCACATGGGTAGCTGGCTCAGCATTCTCTTTCTTCCTAGACACCCGCAGGAAACCTGCTAGAGCCTGCCCCAGGACGAGCCCCCTTGGGGCCCCCAAATATCACTTGAAAACTTCCTTGTGGATCCACTGGCCCCATCGCCCCTCACCCTGCCAACCGCTCACAGTGTAATCCCCACTCTGGTTGGGCCTGATGGCTAGTCCTTCCACTCCCCAGGCCCTGCGCCTGGAGACAGCTCTGCCCACAAGGGTGGGGTCCCTCAGCCCAGCCCGACTGGTTTTCTTCCTCACCACGGCCACCAAAGGGCTGAGCAGGAAGGGAAATAAGAAAGTAGCTTAAATTCTCCTGATTTACAATAGAAAGTGGAGAAGCTCTGTTCTGGCTCGGTGTTACAATCGAGGGAAGGAAAATACTCCTGCTTCAGCTGTGCAAAGACAGGGTCTGGCAGGGCGATGTTTAGAGGGTTTTCCAGTACAGGAAGTCTAGGCTTCTCCAGACATTCATTCTGCCATTCATTCAATACAATAAGGAATAACTCAAAAATCCCTGTCCCTATATAACTTACATTCCGTGGGGGCACAGACAACAAACAAGATAAAGGAAACCATCTGTGTTAGATTATGGAATGTGCTAGGGAGAAAAAAAAAGAAGCGAGGCGAGGAGAGATGAAGTAGATGGTGGTCAGCATCCATGAGATGCTGAGACTCAAGTAAAAATCTGCAGGCAGTGAGGGCATGAGCTACATCTGCAAAGGCCCTGCGGCAGGAGAGTGTATGGCACAGAAGAGCAGGAGCAAAGAGGCCCGGGCAGCTGGAGCTGAGGAGCGGGCGGGAAAGAAGAAGGAGGAGTGAGGCCATGAGCGCCTTCCCAGCTGGGAGCCTGGCTTTTCCTCCAAGGGGGGCAGGGACGTTGCAGGGTTTGAGCAGAGCAGTACCAAGATTCGAAGAGTCCTCTGAAAGTGGTGCCCTCATGAGAGCTGTGCTCAGAGGTAGGATGTGCCTAACCCAGCAAACTGTCCCTTTTGACCTTTGCCCTGTCCCGCCTAGCCAACAAGAATGAGCGGAATCTGAAAAGGGCCAGGCACCAGGGCCCCAGGCCCAGCCCCACCCACCAGCACCCACCTGCTGCCAAGGGGATGAAGGGGACTCGGGTGGAGAGAAGCACCCCTGCGTCTGAGCCCCGTCACAGGCGTGAGTAATGGGGCGGGAGAGAACTTGTCATAAAGCTTATTCTGCTCTGTCTGGACACCCGGGGAGCCTCCGGCAGCAGCCCAAGTCTGTCCCTGCCAGCCCCAACCCCCAGCCCAGGGGCTCCTCACACCCGCCTCAGGAAAGGCCTCGCTCCCAGCTTTTCCAGCAAGTTGATCCTCCCATCGTGGGGCGGATCTCACTGGGTCTGTATGGGTCTGAGTTCTTTCCAGGTTTGGTCATGTGTGAGAGACTGTAGAGGGGCTTGGGGCCTGTTCCTGCTCCGGTCTCTGTAATTCTGTGGCGCTTTTCTTCTGCAGGGCCAGTTAGTGGTAGAGCTAAGAGTTCAGCTGCCTGCCTCCAGCTGTGACTACTACCTCCCTCCACGGGCCGCTGTCCTTGGCTGATCCAGAAGCCGGCTCAGCCACATTCCCAGAGGACCCTTCCGCACAGTCTTAGATCCTCATGGGTATCTGGGCATTGTAATAAATAGGAGTCTTGGTGATGGTTCAAATCCATGTCCCCCTCTGGCAAGTGAACCAGCAGGAACCCAAGCCTCTCGTGTTCCATCCCAGGGCTGGGGACCCCACCAGGTCTCTATTCACACAGTGGAAACTGCTGTTTCTGTGGCAAGACAACCGGCCCTGGAGACTCACTCACTAGAGATCGCACTTTTTTCATTGGTTCAAGTTTGCTCCGTGCTTCTGGTTTTATCTTTTCAGTTGGGGAAATCTGGTTGTCAGGCGTCCTTGATGCTGAGATACGGCCTCAGTGCATGTGGGAACAGAAGAGGCCGCTCACATGAACTCAGAGTTTCAGCCGAATGGGAGAGGCGCCGGCCTCATCATGACCCCTGATCAAACTCCACCGGAGCCGGGCCAGAATCAGAGACACTTTGGTTGGCAGGGACCTCAGAGAGCATCATGCAACTGTCTTGTTTTTAGAGGACAAGACCAGGGTGCGAAAAGGGGTGTAATCTGCCTAGAGTTGGTGACGGGGTGAGACTAGAACCTGTGCCCGTGACTTCTGAGACCAGAGCTGTCTGCACTGGGCCACCTCATCTCAGCATGTCCCCCCCGGCCTGCTCCTCCCAAGCACGGTCAAGCCTCCTGTGTCTGCTATTGGTTTCAGATGGAGCTGGATGCAGCGGCAACGCTGGCACACTTAGACATGTTCCTGGCTATGTTTGGAGGCTCTCCCCCCAACCCTTTCTTTGTTCTATGCCTTCTTCCTCTGTGGGGGCTCTGTATCTGTCCTCCCTACTCCTCTGCATTGCTGGCTCTGCCTCTGTCTTGGTCTCAATCTCCCTTCCATTGTCTCTATCTTTTCCTAACACCCTCTGGCTTTTTTTAGACGAACAGTTTCTATTTCTCTCTAGATGACAGCAACCCATCCTCTGACAGCTCTGACAGCAACGACAGCTCGCCTCCGACCCGCCAGGTAATGGACACGCCTAGTGATCCCAGCCCTCAGTATGCAGTCTGGGGTCCCTGCTGTAAGACCCTGGGGACTCAGGCCACCTCAGCTACAGGGATGAGAGCAAGGAAGGAGGGGCTTCTCGAGTCATGACAGCATTCTTCGGTGAGGGTGGCCGGGCTTTCACTCACACGCCCATTATCAGCATGGATCATCCAAACTAAGTGGGTGAGAGTGGGCTGTGAAATTAAAGTGCTAATGGGAAACCTCCTTCTCCCCATCTCCCAGTCACTGGGCCAAAGTCTGCTCTGAGTCCTGACCTCACTTGGGTTGAGTCTCCACCTCTTTCTTCCTTAAACCCCTTCATTCTCTGCAGAGGGGGGAACAAAGTCATTGTCAATCTTCCTCCTTGCCCTGGCCCTGCTCTCAGATCCAGCTGCCTGGGACCCAGGTTCTTTCCCATCCAGCTTAGGGCGAGCCTCTTTGAGTGACAGTTCAGTCCTGGGGTCCTACCTCCTCCAAATGTCAGAGGAATCTTGACCCACATTTCTCTGGGTTTTTTTTCCTTAAGGACACCAAGCATGTGAATTACACACAAGTGACCTTTTCAGACCCTGGAGGACTGGAAAATGACTCTGCCCTGGACTATGAGAACGTGAAGGAAGCCACAGATTATGTCAATGTCAATCCCAAAAGCCACAAACCCAGCCTCTGGACTTTTGTGAACCCTGCTGTCTCTGAGCAGGTGGAATACACTCAAGTGGCCTTGTGAGCTCGAGGTTTTTAATGGCATGCAGTTCTCGAGGAATTCCTGCACCGATTTTGTAGGAGAGTTTCTTTTTCTTTTTCTTTTTTTCAACAAGGCATGAGTGGGTGCAGGAGGTGGCCTGTATCTCAGCAGGAAAGATTGAGATCAGACGTGAGAAAGAACACCAGGTTAAGATGAAAATACTGGAGCATATCAGAAGAGAAAGTGGTGAAGTCTCTCTCCATAGAAAATTTTAAAAAAAATTTTAATCAGCTATAGTAGAGTTCTGTTCAACAATCTTATGATTAAATAATTCTTTGAGCTCTTTAATTATTGAAGATAAACAACATCTTTGCGAGTTTTAAATAAAATGGCAACCACTAGTTTCTCTTTCCTCTGGCCTAGCCCAGTGTTCTGTCCCTTTTTTAGTGCTGTATCTTGCTGATTAATCCTGTTCTGCCCTCAGAACTTTAAATAGTCCACCCAGAAAGCTCGCCATCGTTCATCCTTTGCATCTGCTGTTTCTTTCTTTTTTTTTTTTTTTGAGGAAAATTAGCCCTGAGCTAACCACTGCCAATCCTCCTCTTTTTGCTGAGGAAGACTGGCCCTCAGTTAACATCCGTGCCCATCTTCCTCTGTTTTATACATGGGACGCCGGCCACAGCATGGCTTGCCAAGCGGTGCCATGTCCGCACCCGGGATCCAAACTGGCGAACCCCAGGCCAGCGAAAATCAGAACGTGCAAACATAATTGCTGCGCCACCAGGCCGGCCCCGCATCTGCTGTTTCTTAGGAACAAAAGGTCACAGACAGAGTCCTGGCAAACACCAACCAGCACAGCAAGCTGTTATTCCAAGGAAAATCTTCCCAAATGCAACTCAATAAAACTCAGTATCTCTTCTGGTTTGCTTGTTTCTTTGTTTTAACCAATTAGGAATAAAAGGACACTTTCTTAACTTGATTAAGAATAGCCTATCTGAAATCAGCAGGCTGCATGCTTTTATCTGTAAGATCCCGGATGCAGCCCTAAATCAAGAGCAGAGGAAGAACGTCGGCAGCTTGTCGTTTCCTTGATCGTCCAACACTGTGCTAGAGGTTCTGTTCAGCGCAATGAAACAGTTAACAAAGACAAGGGCTTTAACTACAGGAAAGGAGGAGAAAATCTGTCACTGTTTGCAGATGTCCTGGTCCTAGAAAACCTCAGAGAATTAATTTAAAATGTTTTAAAATTGATAACACTCAGTAAGCAGTGTCTAGATAAATATACAATATATATTTTCCAACAGCTAATTAAAACATGAAGTGAATAAAATTTTGCTCACAATAGCTAAACAAACCTCTCAAAAAACAGGAACCCTAGGAATACTCCTAGCCAGATTCAAACCCCAGATGAATGGCACTCAGGTCTTAGAGATGGTTGGTTAGCTGAGCTTCCTCCGCTGGCTGTAAACGACCTTTCCAGCCCCGGCACTGAGGGCGGTGGACGGCTTTCATCTGACTCCTGGGTTTCTCTTCCCCAAGATCACCTCAAGAAATGGTTCTGGTGTGGGTTTGTGGGGCTGGAAAATTTTGCCAGTCTACATGTCCCTCCACCTTTTAGCTACCATTATTGTCCCTCTCCTGCTATGCATTGAATGTTTGTGCCCCCCTAAGTTCACATGTTGAAATCCTAACACCCGAGGTGATGGTTTCAGGAGGTGGGGCCATTGGGAGGAGATCAGGTCACGAGGATGGCGCCCCCCGAGAGATTAGTCTCTTATGAAGGAGACTGCACAGAGCTCCCTGGTCCCATCTGCCAAGGACGATACAACGAGTGAGCTGAAGAGGTTCAGACAAGTCACAGCGCCCCGAGAGCCCACTTCCAAGCCGTGACCTCCACAGATGCACGTCTCCCCTGGAGGCCGAGCTGCGTGGCCAGGGCAGGCTGACTTGGGCAGTCTCAATGAGACAACCAAGATCCCGCCAGGTAGCAAGTCCAAATGGGAACTATTGTCAATTTGCAGCCGCCACTGGGTGGCTTGAGGGGTGGGCCCATCCACACTGGAGACTATGAAGGTGGTCAGGCCCAGGCCCACCCTCCATCAGCCTGCAGGACCTTGGTGCCCAAGGCCAGCTGAAGGAGTGGGAACTGCACATGTGCGGGTCATGCAGGTCAAGATAGCCCAGGACCTGGAGCAGAGAAGGGGTGGGGAGAAGCCGGGCCACAGGAGCAGGATCTCGGGGACACAAGTCATCTGTCCAATTCCAAGCCCTAACCTACGAATGCACATACTAAACAAGCAGAGCTACAGCTCACTGCGCAGCCTCACCAGCGTGGAGGCAGGGGCTGGCCCAGGTATTGTTTCATAAGAGACACCTGGGAGCCCTGAAGGCTGGCAGATGCCGGGATGCCAGGCAGCAAGCCCCGATGGGGACTGACTATAGCCAATTTGCATCTGCCGCCCCAGGGTGATGTTCGAGGGTTGGGCCCCCTCCACCCTGGAGACTCTGAAGCATGGGACACTGCTGAGACATTTCCTACACCAGGAGAGGGGACAACTGCAGCAGCCAGCACAGCACCTGCTGCAGAATTCTGGATGGGCCCGGGGGAGTGGGAGGAGGATACATAAAAAGAAGACTTGAGCATCCTGGTGGGGGCTCGAGGCTTGTATGACCTGGTTGTGGGGACAAGGAAGAGCACATACGAAATACCATGGGACAAAGGGGAATGAACATACAGCGATGAAACCAGACCCTATGGACGTTTAGGCAGATTGGGTCCAAGAATGTTAGGATCAGGTGGACTCAGACAAAAGATCCCAGACAGAGAGGGTTTCTGACCTCAGCTGAGAAAGCAGGGTGGAAAGTCGAGCGATGGGGAAGAGGCAGAAGGAAAGGCAGCGGGCCTGAGCCCACGCAGGCTCTTAGTCGAAGCCCCAGGGACTGACCTAACTGAAGTGCATGGGGAAACGTCTGTGCCTGGACTCCGAGGCAGCCAGGACACTCTGGAGCAGAGAGCGGGTGTCCCAAAAACAGAGATCTGGATGCCAATGAGCTTCTGATTAAGGTCCATAACGAACTCTGCTGTGATTGCTTGCAAAGGTATGACATTTTACATCACATATATCATAGAGGTTAACATTAGCAGCCACCCTGATTGCTTACAAGGGGAAGGCATTCTTGGAGCATGCTGTTTAAGAATGGAGTTGAGGGGCTGGCCCTGTGGCCGAGTGGTTAAGTTCACGTGCTCTGCTTTGGTGGCCCAGGGTTTCGCCCGTTTGGATCCCGGGTGCGGACATGGCACTGTTCATCAGGCCATGTTGGGGTGGTGTCCCACATAGCACAACTAGAAGGACCTACAACTAGAATATACAACTATGTACCGGGGGGCTTTGGGGAGAAGAAGAAAGAAAGAAAAAAAAAAGGAAGATTGGCAACAGATGTTAGCTCAGGGCCAATCTTTAAAAAAAAAAGAAAAAGACAGATTCCCTTGGGCCCTCAGGCACACTGAATTAGAATCTTGAAACAGTGGGTCTGGGAATCTGCATAAAATAAAATAAAATAAAATAAAATAAAATAAAATAAAAAATTAAAAAAAGGATGGAGTTGAAAGTGTGACCCCAAGTGCTCACAGAGGTTTAATTGACGGTTGATGGGCAGATGACTTCTCAGATGCCCTGCTGATTAAAGAGAGCTAGGGTCACGTCCTGAAGAGTCTGGGCCACTAAGCGGATGACTGGGGCCAGCTAACAATTGGAAGCGACCCTCACAGTCATTGCCAGTCATGTTGCTAGTAACAAAACGGCCTTCTGTTTGTGATACCTGTATGAGCTTAGAGGGTTAGCTGCCTAAATCTGTCTGAACAGTTGCCTGTGTGAGTAATCGCCCTTTGAGGAGCACAGCCTCCAGAACAATGAAGTCACTTTCTCCCGTGTAGTGTATCATCGAAGCCTCCAGGGAGCTGTCATGCTGCCCTCCTCCGGGTCTGTCCACAGGTGAAGCCTGGATAAAAACCTCTCCAAAACTAGAGAAACTGATTTGCTACTGGCAACCAGCAGATGATTGATTACGTGCCAGTAATGGACTCGGAATATACAGGAGACCAGAATAAATGTGACATGTCTTCAACGAATTCTCGTTCTGAAGGAGCGAGCACCCGAATATCCACCACGGAACCGCTGCAAAATCCCATGAGGGACAATGTCGTGCTGGCCAACAAGGCCCACCAGGGTGAGGAGGAATTTTATACCCAGTATCAGTGAGTTTTTTGCTCCTGGGATCAGGACAGATTTCTGGGCCCAGAGGGGCCCCCAAGAGGCCTTCAACCCAAGCCCTCAGCCTCTAAACCAAACAAATCATAGTAACTCTATCTTTTCTGGGGTTTCTTTTGTTTGTATATTTTTTTGAGGTCCTCCTAGCTCCCTCAAACATCCTTTCAGGCAGGAATTTCTACACTCAGTCCCGAATCCTGGAGTAGAAACCTCTTGTTCTTTCCCTTCCTTGCCAAATACATCCTCCATGAGCTTCCAGGGAAAGAAGTGCATGTCCAGGTGTCTTAGGAGAACTGGCTCGAATGAGGAGCCAAGACTCCACAGCTCCAGGGAAAGTCAGCGGGGCAGCAGAGCTGGGAGGCTGGGACTGTTCCAGCCTGCCCCTGTGGGTCATTGCTGCTTCAGATCCTCTGTCAGCCTCACACTGCCATCGTGTGGCTCCAGGGCGAATCCCAGGTCACTCTTCTTTCCTTTCCTCTCTTGAGCTGGGTGAAGGGGTGCCAGGAAGGCGGCTCCCCATCCCTCAACCCTGGCCCTGCCCTGCTCAAAGAGATAACAATTTTATTTTAGCTTGCATATCCCACTATCATTGCCCCTAGGAAACAAAGGTGTCCAGAAATGTCCTGATTATTAAGGAGCTTTATCAGTCAGTTTCAACCACACCTCTGGGTTCCAGACCCAGGAGTGCGCTGCTGCAGCCTGGGCTGGGGCTACAGCTCCTTAATAGATAAAAGACCTATTTACATAAAAAACAGACACAGTCATCTGGAAAATTACTGGCTTATACCAAACAACATAAAAAGCCATTCTGAGAAATCCCCACAGTCAGCCAATTAACCTCCTCCTGCGTCCTCTGCCCTGCCCTCGCCTTTACCCCCTGCTCTCACAGGGGGTCTAAGGGACTGAGTCTGCGTTTACAGAGTGCGCAGAATGCCGTCAATGTCTTACGGACGTGCCCAGAGACAGCACGGTTCAGTTTCTCCCGGGGTTAGCTGTCAGAAGTGAGAATGAGCCCAGCGAGCAGAGAACCTCCTCCTCGTTTCCTGCGGGGCTCCCCTCCCGGAACACTAGCTGAGGCGCGTGTGCCATCTCAGACTGTCTGCGAGAGCTTCCTACAGGTGCTGCCAAAGCTGGCACTCAGATCCAGACAAGGTCCTGCCATTGCTTTCAGAAGCCTCTTGGAACAGGCTCCCGAGCCCCAGCCCAGTGTCCAGTTCTTCCCCTTTCGCCTCACCACGGACAGCACCAGCTTTCTGGCAAAGATCAGGTGCAGCCTTTCCATGGGAGGGACACCGAGGGGCCCAAAGCCACCACACAAGTAAATCCCTCCTGTGCGACGCCAAACTGAAAATAGAATAGTGGTGTTATTTGCTACTCTTTGCTGTAGACGGCAACGAGTAGACACAGAAGGTGCTCTGGCCGTGACTCCAGGTCTCCTCTCCTCCTCTCTAAACTGTAGGGTCTCTTGGGCCCAGGGCCCTGGAAGTCACCCACCAGATAGACACAATCCAGAGCCAGGCCATCATTATCTTCTCTAACATCAGTAGAGTAGTCTGTAGTCTTACAAATTCCTCCCAACAAGGAGAGCACTGTTATTTCTATTTAACAGATGAGGAAACTGTTGCTCAGAGAGATTGGGTAACTTGCCCAAGTTCATCCAGGTAGCAAAGGGGTGAGATCAGGACTCAAACCCAGGTCTTCGGGGTACAAGGCTGGTGTCACTTCCACCTCCCAGTCATGACGAGGACAAAGATTTATTTAGTACTTACTGTGGGCACTAGAGTCAGGAACTGCGGCCTGAGGGCAGGTGGCTTATGTTAGCAGGGGAAGAGCAACTTCAACAGGTCAGGCTGTCTTGGGAGGCCCCTAAGCCCAGCTCCACCCGGGCTGAGGGACAGGGAAGCAGTGGTTGGATGTCAGGGACTGACATGGGCAACAGAGTGCAGCGGAGAGACTGTGGGTCCTCACATCTGCCTGGAACCTTGGCCCCATTAGGGACTGTGTCCCTCTCTCTAGTTTTCTAGCACTGAAAGGTTGAGGCTTTGCTAACTCAGAGACACTCGTCTTAGGTCCTTTTAAAGAAGCCTGAGGAGACTTCTTAGAGCCCAACAGCCTCTTAAAGGAGTATATTCCCAGAGCCAGAGTCACTCCTCAAAGCTGCCCTAGGAGTGGAGGGCAGAGAGTGCATCTGGTCCCTAGAGCTGCTCGCAGGAGCTCCTAATCACATTAGCAATTCCTTACATTAGTATAGAGATCATGCGCTTACGCACCACCCATGCATCCACAGTTCTGTCTGACCCTCAAACGGAGAGAGCAAGGACTAGCCAGCATTTCACCCATGTTGGTCGTCAGTGGTGGCATGGTGGCAAACACAGGATCCAGTTCTGCTGACTTTTCAGCTGATGCTCTTTCCACCATCAAGGCCTTCTCTTAGATTAGAACTGAATTAAGGTGAGGAAGCTACCCCATGATATAAATCCCTCTGGAGACAATGAAGAGCAGGACAAAGCCCCAGATTCTACCTGCCCTGCTGTCTTTCCTGGCATGAGCATTACAGGATTGAGGGCAAAAGTGGACAGTGGGACCACGGCAGGACCCACAGTCACCAGAATTGAGTAAAAGGATATAAACGTCATTGTCATGAAAATCCAACGATTCTTCTAGAGCCTGGGAGTCAGAAAATGCCCTTTGTGTTTCTCTGCTGTAATGCCCTTACCAGTCTTGCAAAGTCATGAAAGGCTAGAGCTGGGAAGAGATCATCTCTGTTCTACGGGGAGAAGACTGAGGCCCGGAGAGGTAGGTGATTTGCGTAAGGTCATACAGATACCTGAAGGCAGAGCTTAGGTTCAAATCCAGGGCTCCTGACTTGACCATTGCATGCATATGATCTATGAGGGAGCTCTGAAGAGGCGAGGAAATCCAAATGATCACGTCACACTTTCTCAAAGGATGTCTCCTCCACGCAGCCCCGGAGGAAGGAGCAGTGAGGATCCCTGGGGGGACGAGGGAAAGCAGCCAGTCTCTGCTGCCTCTGGGGCCCCCTCCCTCTCTTCAGTCTATTGTGAGCATTTTCATCTCCTCCCTTCCTCCCTCTTTTCACACTCACCCCCATGGGCCACACCGATGAGAATATGCAATACTTTGCTCCCATCACCCATCACCCACCCCCTAAAGGAGGGTGGTACGGGAAGAGGAGGAACCAGCATTTGCAGAGTTTTTACTAGTTCCAGGTGCTATACTAAACCCTGCCTCTCCCTTCCGGAGACGGGTGGGCACGGCAGGCGAAGCCCTCACACACATTCAGTTTTCTTCATTAAACAACCCTCCCTCTACAAAAAAAAAAAAAAAAAAAATTCCAGGATCCAAACAGGGTCCTGCTCACAGTTTCACTTCTCCCCTCTCGGGTTGGGCTGGGGTATGCTAGTCAGGTCAGAATGGGGACAGCCAGCCAAGATGGAGACCAGCCTCTGAGTTCCCCCCACCTGTGGACCCCCAGTCAGGGCCGTCCTGGGCCCGTCCCAGATGCGGGGTGTGTTCCCACACACCGTGAATGTGGCAGGATCAGGGAAGCAGATGGTTTGATTCTCCCTGACTTCCAGCGTGTGAGACTGGGAGCGAATGATGGCAGCCATTCTGACCGCCCCACCCTGCCTCAAACTGGGTTCCCCTCTCTCCACCCATGACCCTCCCAGCATTCATACCCAGAGCTGAGATGAGCAAAGACCCTCTGCTAGCCCCATGGGCGGCACCAGACTCTGGGGAGTGTTCCCTAAAAGATGCCGGTCTCAGTGATGGCTTCCCCATCCACCGGCTCTGAGCCCTTCAGTGACTCTTGGGGCCCAGGCCTCCCACGGAGTTTGGGGCTGAGGCCGAGGGTGGGCGGGCCGCTGGAGCGGGTCAGCAGCGTGGTGCGGCGACTGGAGAGGCTGCCGTTGGAGAGCTGCCTGCGCATCCCGGGCCGGGGGCCCCCACAGCAGGCTAGATGGCGCAGGGGGCGCGGCCACAGGTGGCTGTTGAAGCCCATGTAGATCCAGGGGTTGCAGCAGCTGCTGAGGTTGCCCAAAAGCATGGAGATGGTGAAGGCCACATTGGTTGAATCTGCCGAGAGAGAAGCACGAGAGGCCTTAGAATTACGGAGCTTGAAGGGACCTGGGAAAGAGTCCGGGCCCCCACTGAACAGAGAAGGAAGCCGTGTCCCAGAGAGGAGAAGGGACTCACCTGGGGTTCTGTAATGAGAGAGGCACACAGCTAGGCCTTCAACCAGCAACTCCTGACGCCAGAATCTTACCTCACTGGTTTTCTGTTTTGTTTTGTTTTCTAACTACAAGGCGAAGGTGGGAGCTGGGGTTTGCTCCAGGTTCGCTTCAGAGGTGTAAACATAGCCATGGACGGGACCAGCCCAAGTAGGAGACATTGTCTTTGTTCCAAAACCTAGACCTTGAATCCTGTAATGGATGTGGCCCCAGGATGAGGCAACTTCTGTAAAGCATGCAGGGAAAACAGCCATGATTCTAGGCCAACTTCAGTCACCCCATCCCCATTTATGTCACAGATTTGGGTGCACACTGCCTTCTGGGCTCTGTCCTCCTTGACCCCTCAGGGGCAGTCCCACTCATCTGTCATTCAGTCATTGAGCATGTGAGCAGTGACGATGCCAGGCTAGTGCTGAGGACCTGGGAGGGCAATCAGTGGGGCCTGACTGCCCTGCAAGGCCCACGGCAGCATCTCCAACCGCAGCAGAGGGGCAGACTCTAGGCAGACGGCATCCAAGCATCCCGTTCCAGACCAGAGACCACACCCAGGGAACGCACCATCCCGCAGGAAAGCACTGATTTCTCTCTTGGGCAGTCAAAATGTGACAGTGCAAAGACCGATAAGATTCCTTTTAGGCACAATATACTTTCTGAAGACTAAATGAAACTCCTCATGCCAACAAGAAAGCTTCTGGGACAGGCCCTGACCTCCTGCTAGATGCACCATGGTTAGAGCTAAGGCACGGTTGCACACTGAGTTACCTTGCTTTTCAGCAGAGGTTGTGAAATCATTGAATTCAGTGTCAGAGCTGGAAGGAACCTGAAGGGTTATGGCATAGACTTGAACCCAGGTCATCCCATGCTAAGGCAGTACTCCTGTCCCCAACACGGTTTCAACCAGCAAACTCAAAGGTAAAGCTCATGTGCCTACCCCATAAAGCTCTATGAGAGCCTCAGAAATACTGGTCCCTCATGCGCATCTCCCATGGGTGTGCTCTCAAGTGTGGCCACTCATAGCCCAACGGAAGGGAAGGCACGGGGTGAGAATGTTTGAGAGAAGTCATGAATTGTAGGGTTGGGAAGCTGAAGGCACCTGGGCCTAGATGGACAGGTCTGGGACACAGAAGTGAGGTGAGGAGGGAGCACCTGTAAGTGGAGGAGGGACCAGCCTCAACAGCAAACACAGCCTCCTTCCGTCTTGCCTAGGTTGTGGCCTGCCCCTCGTTAACGCAATCCCGAGGGGCTGCAGAAGACGTGGGAAGTTGCTTTGGCTAAGAAGCGGTATTCACCCCATCTGCTCCATCAGCGTATATTCAGTACCAGGATTAGGCCAGGGGCTGAGGCAGTCCACATGTTCCTTTGCTGGGGAAACACCTGTTTGGTTTGGCCCCATCTGAGCCAGGCCCAGTGCAGGGCTGGAGATGTGCCTCGAGCACTGGAGTCTGCAGAGGCCCCACCTCTCAGCCCCTGAGGGCAGATCCACAGCCCCCAGTCACAGGCAGCTGCTGTGTCCTGGCAGAAACTCAGCTGACAGTTGGGGACAGGGGCGAGGACAAGGAGACTGACAGACTTTGACCAAAGACTCAGGGACAGGAGGCTGGGGTGCTGTGGAGGGGAACTGGGTATCCTGGAGAGTAAGTTCAAAGTAAGGAATCTCAGCCCAACTAAAAGGGCCCCAAAGAACTTCCATTTATGGGAGGGACCACACCATCTGTAAGACAGCACTTAGTTCCCGCACTCCTTGTGCAGAGAGGCCCTCGGTAAACGGTAAATCACGCTTCACAGGTGAGGAACATGGCACTGAGGGACGGGCTCAGGATGATGCTTCACAAGGCCGGCAAGCAGGAAAGCCTGCACTGGCTGACTGGCAGGATCCCCACCTTCTCATAGGTTCCTCAATAAAGGGCTGAATGACCATCTCACCCTCGGTGCCATTGGCTAAGCTGTGATTGTTGGAGGTAAAGCCATGCCATGGATAAAGCTTGCCTGTAAAGACCTGGGTTCAAGTCCTGGCTCCATCTCTCACCACCAGCGGCACTTTGGACCAGTTATTTCACCTCTCTCAGTCTCAGCTTCCTCAGACATAAAGTAACGAAGGCCACCTCCACAGAGCACAAGGACTGAATGTGCTGGGCACAAGGAAGCCGTCCTCCCTCCTATTCTGTGCCTGACTAGAGCAGGGAAGTCCCTATGCTTGGTTAGAATTAATATGCTCATTGCTTAAAGGGTAATTTTTAACAGCCTCTTGTCCAGACTGATGTCTAAAGGCAGTTAAGAAGGGACACGATAGGACTGTAATAGTTTGGTATTGTCTTCAGACTTCTCTTACAGGACTGTGTTAAATTCATGAACAGCCTTCACCTTATTTTCTCTCTCCAGAAAAGCAAAGCCTTTGGCTTGAGTGTGTCCTAGGATGAGCAAAATGAGATCAGAAACAAAAGCACAGGGAAGGGGGACCACTCCCTAAGAGCTGGTAGGAATTGGTCACCTGAGTCCTCAGCCCAGTGAACTCTCAGGAAGCTTCCAGAGGAACCTGTGCACAGGCCCCCCTACAGCAGTTACACGCTATACCTATTATAGCTCCCGCGCTGTGCACACAGCACGATGCACTGCAGAGCACACAGTCACCCTATCCACAGACACACAGACAGGCTAACACGTATTTGTCCCCACACCCCACTCTTCTTAGGGGAGCAAGAACAGATGTCTTTGGCAGGGAAAGCATTTGGCAAGATCCAACATCAATTTATGATAAAAACTCTCAAAAAATGAGTGTAGAAGGAAAGTACCTCAACATAATAAAGGCAATATATGACAAACCCACAGCCAACATCATACTCAATGGTGAAAAACTGCAAGCCATCCCTCTGAGAACAAGAACAAGACAAGGGTGCCCACTCTCCCCACTCCTATTTGACATAGCGCTGGAGGTTTTGGCCAGAGCAATTAGGCAAGAAAAAGAAATAAAAGGAATCCAAATTGGAAAGGAAGAAGTGAAACTCTCGCTGTTTGCGGATGACATGATTCTATATATATAGAAAACCCTAAAGAATCCACCAGAAAACTATTAGAAATAACCAACAACTACAGCAAAGTTGCAGGGTACAAAACCAACTTACAAAGATCAGTTGCATTTCTATACACTAATAATGAACTCAGAGAAAGAGAAATCAAGAATACAATCCCATTTACAATCGCAACAAAAAGAATAAAATATCTAGGGATAAATTTAACCAAGGAGGTGAAAGACCTATACACTGAAAACTATAAGATATTATTGAAAGAAATTGAAGATGACATAAAGAAATGGAAAGACATTTCATGCTCATGGATTGGAACAATAAACATAGTTAAAATATCCATATTACCCAAAACAATCTACAGATTCAATGCAATCCCAATCAGAATCCCAATGACATTCTTCACAGAAATAGAACAAAGAATCCTAAATTTTATATGGAACAACAAAAGACTCCAAATAGCTAAAGCAATCCTGAGAAAAAAGAGCAAAGCAGGAGGCATCACAATCCCTGATTTCAAAATATACTACAAAGCTATAGTAATCAAAACAGCATGGTACTGGTACAAAAACAGATACAAAGATCAATGGAACAGAATTGACAGCCCAGAAATAAAACCACACATCTACAGACAGCTAATCTTTGACAAAGGAACCAAGAACATACAGTGGAGAAAGGAAAGTCTCTTCAATAAATGGTGTTGGGAAAACTAGACAGCCACACGCAAAAGAATGGAAGTAGGCCATTATCTTACACCACACACAAGAATTAAATTAAAATGGATTACAGACTTGAATGTAAGACCTGAAACCATAAAACTCCTAGAAGAAAATATAGGGAGCACACTCTTTGACATCAGTCTTAGCAGCATCTTTTCAAATACCATGTCTACTCAGGCAAGGGAAACAAAAGAAAAAATAAGCAAATGGGACTTCATCAGACTAAAGAGCTTCTGCAAGGCAAAGGAAACCATGAACAAAATGAAAAGACAACCCACCAACTGGGAGAAAATATTTACAAATCATATATCCGACAAGGGATTAATCTCCATAATATATAAAGAATTCATACAACTCAACAACAACAACAAAACAACCTGAGCAAAAAATGAGCAGACATTTTTCCGAAGAAGAAATACAGATGGCCAACAGGCACAGGAAAAGATGCTCAACATCACTAATCATTAGGGAAATGCAAATTAAAACTACAATGAGATATCACCTTACACCTGTCAGAAGGCTATAACTACCAAGACAAAAAATAAACGTTGGAGAGGATGTGGAGAAAAGGGAACCTTCATACACCGCTGGTAGGAAGGCAAACTGGTGCAGCAACTATGGAAAACAGTATGGAGATTTCTCAAAAAGTTAAAAATAGAAATACCATATGATCCAGCCATCCCACTACTGGGTATTTATCCAAAGAACTTGAAATCAATGATCCAAAGAGATTTATGCACCCCTATGTTCATTGCAGCATTATCCACAATAGCCAAGACGTGGGAGCAACCCAAGTGCCCATCAACTGATGATTGGATAAAGAAGATGTGGTAAATACACAATGGAGTACTACTCAGCCATAAAAAAGGACAAAGTCGTCCCATTTGCAACAACATACTTGGACCTTGAGAGTATGATGTTAAGCGAAATAAGCTAGACAGAGAAAGACAAACACCATACGATTTCACTCATATGTGGAAGATAAACAAACACATGGACAAAGAGAACAGATTAGTGGTTACCAGAGGGGAAAAGGGTGGGGTGGGCGAAAGAGGTAAAGGGGCACATATGTTTGGTGATGGATAAAAATTAGACTACTGGTGGTGAGAACAATGCAGTGTATACAGAAACTGATATGTAATAATGTACACCTGAAGTTACACAATGTTCTAAGCCAGTATGACCTCAATAAAATAAATAATAAAAAAAAAGAACAGATGTCTTTGAACACCACTCTCCGACATTTAGGCCGCCCAGACACAGCCCCGCCTTCCTGAGAACAAGCTCACCCTTAGACGGCAAGGCCATCTAAAACTGTCTAAAACTCAGGGGTTGCCTTCTCCCTCACCCCAGAAAAATGACCAGAACAAAGCCTTCCACGTGCCAACTGGAGCACAGTCCTCTTGAAGGGTCCCATTTTGTTTTTCACGTAGGAGGAAGGCCCCTCTCCTCCTCACTTTCAGAGGCCGGGTTATGGGCGGGGCACGGGGTTGAGGAAAAAGACAAGGAGACAACAGGCCTCGTTCTGCTCATTTTGCCTCTTCCCAGCTGTGTGGTCTTGGGTAGGTCACGTTTCCTCTCTGAGCCTCTGCTTCCTCATTAGCAAAATGAAGGGGCTGAACTTGGAATTTCAGGGTTGTCATGTGCCGTGCTAACTAACCGAAGCGGATGTTGAAAAGGAGTCAAAGTCACGCCCAGGTGCAGGAGCGAAGAGTGCTGAGAGACACAGTGCATGAGCCACAAGTTGCCACCCTGGACCAGATCATTTGAAAATCCCTTTCAACTCTATCATTCGACGGTTCTAATGCTCACCAAACAGACTGGCAGTTCATTGGCCAAATGTACCAAGGGTCATATTTCATTAGGGCCACATAGTATTTTTAAATGGTTACATTAGTTACCAAAAATTTAGAATATGGAAATTTCACATAAAAGATACTCCCATGGCATCGGTAGGCTGGATGGGAATTGTAGTGCTCCTTTTCCAGGGGACAGGCACCATCTTTCTTAATTACTTCACTCCTTTGTCACTTCCCCAGCCCTGGGAGGCACTGGACCCCTGCCCTGACCCTCATATGCTCCCTTCCACACAGACAACACACTTGCCTTCATCAGGCGCGTTCTCGTCCCACACAGACCACATCTGGACGCTGAAGAAGGGTGCCCAGCAGGCGATATAGGCCAGCACAATGATGAAGGTCATCTTCACGGTTCGGATCTTGGCCCTTGAAATGGTGCTGATGCTGCTGACGCGGGATGGCAGCCCCTGCGTGGCCGCAGCCGGGGCAGATGGTGCAGGCCTGTCCCAATTCCTCCAGCCCCCTCTTTCTACCCTCCAGGCCCGCGTCTTGCCTTTTAGGTTCTTACAGATCTCGTGGCAGATGAGGCTGTAGCAGGTCGTGAGCATGGCCACGGGCAGGATGAAGATGGCCAGGGTGGTCCAGGTAATGTAGGCCCGTGGCCCCCAAGGGAAGCGGAAGTCTGCCCAGCAGTCCAGCACCCCGGTGCCCTGGATCACCTCCCGCAAAGAGAAAATGAAGACTTGAGGGAGGCTGAGGATGGCGGCTAGCAGCCAAGGAGCGGCAATGAGTGGGTAGGCGGACTGGCTGGGCTGCCGGAGGCTGCGCAGTGGGTGACAAACAGCCAGGTAGCGGTCCAGCGTCATGGCCAGCAGCATGTAGGTGGAGGCAAACATGCTCAGCACCTGCAGGTACTTGATGGCCCGGCAAAGGAGGTCGGGGCCCCAGAAACGGTAGGTGATGTCCCACAGCAGCTGGGGCAGCACCTGGAAGAGCGCCACCCCCAGGTCAGTGAGGGCCAGGTGCAGCACAAACAGGTGCATGCGCGAGAGCTTGCGGCCCAGCCGCCCCAGCATCAGCAGCACAGTCAGGTTGCCCCCTGTGGCCAGTACCAGGACAGTGGCCAGGACTCCTATCTCCACCTTGGCCAGCTCCTCATCCCGGCCCAGCCAGGGTGTTGTGGCATTGGGAGCAGAGAGGGTGCCCCAGGGAGTGGGGTTGGCAGCCCAAGGAGTCCCAGAATCCATGGTCAAAGTTGGCTGGGAGGAAAGGAGAGGAGGTGGGGGGATGGATGCAGAGTGTGGGTGAAAGGGCAGAGGGCTGATGGCTGAACTTCGGTAGAGAGGGAAAGGTTTAAGACGGAGAGAAAGGAGAAGGGCGAGGATAACAGGGAGAAAGCTGCAAGCAGGTGGAACTAGTTAAGAGGACGCGGCTAGAGAGGAGGAGGGAGAGTGAGATAAGGAAGAATATGCTGATGCCAGAGAGAGGAGGGTGAACCTAGGAAGGACGAGAAGGAGGGACCAGGGTGTCAGGAAGGGAAGAAGGGATGAGGCGGTGCAGAGTGAGTCCTTCGGAACGGAAGGAAGGCTGGGGGAGCTGCCACCACTCCCAGATCCACCCCAAATTCACTTTCTCCAAACTCTTCTAGAAGCAGAAAGCGTAAGTCCCTAAGCCCGCTTGGAGGCGCAGTCTGGGCCATCGGCGTCGCCCGCCGGCGGAAAGCCCCGCGAGCCGCGCGCCCAGGCCAGCGACAGGCGGCAGGGGGAGCGCCCGGCCGCGCCGCTCCTGCCGAGCGGGTTTTATGGGCACGCAGCCCGAGCCTTGCGGCCCCTCGGCGCCGGTTGGCTCCTGCAGTGGAGGGCGGAGTGAGACTCAGACACCCAGCCGGCGGGAGGACCACGAGGCTGGCTGGGGACAGGCGGCAGGTCAGGGGAGGGAAAGGAGAAAGGACAGAGGGGGCGCTGGACCCGGGACAGGAACGAGAGAAGCTCACCAGCTCGCTGACCGACCCACACGCAGAAAGACAGACAAACTCTTCTACGCTCTCACCCTGGAACCGTCGGACTGTCTCCCAAGGCAGGTGCATACCTAGGGGGCGGGGATGGGGTGACTCACCCACGCGGGGACCGTGGGGCTGGCAGAGTCGTAGGGCGCACCCCCTGGCAAAGGGTCCAATATCTGCAGGGGTGGCTAGGTGGGCGAGGAGGCGCCCCACACAGAGCCCTCTGCCCTTGGAGTGACGTCTGGCTGCAGACACTGGTGGGAGACTTGGAGCCACAGAGGGACCAAGTGAGGACAGGGTGCGTGTTGAGAGAGGGAATGGTGGTGACAGGAGAGAGGCGGGGGTGGAAGGAGCTAGACCCTGGAGCCCCGGTGCACTTGATGCAGGAGGCAGATGGGAGAAATTCCCAGGGCTTGCGTCCTCAGGGGACGTCTTACCAGCTGCCTCCCGGGAGTCTTCACACATAGTATCCTAAACACAGTCAACCACCTGTGAGGTAGAAAACTGAGGCCCAGAGAGGTTACTTGACTTGCTCTAGAAGATCACAGAGCAAGGAAGCAGTAGAGGCAAGCCTATAACTGGCGTGCGTGTTTCCAGAGCAGACTGGACTAACACCCAGGACGCACAGGCACAGGTGCCGACGGAAGTACAGATGGAAATAAACCACCACGGCCCGGAGGCAGCTGACAGCCCAGCAGAGAGGGCAGTGTGTGGAATTCGCTTTATATTAGTACATATACAAGGTGGATTATTGGGACCCTCTCCAGAGCAGATTAGAAATTCGTTAGGAGTGACAAGGCGTGGTCCATGCCCCTCCAACAGGACAAGGTCCCTCATTGTATGGAGGTCCTCTTGCGTTGCCTTTTAATCAAACCAGACCCCCATTTACAGTGTCACCCACCTGCCCACGCATCCAGTTAGCATCACTTCTTGAAGCGTCTCCCTCCTAAACAGCCTAAAAATTCCTCTCCACTTCATCCCACTCCCACAGTTCAGATGCGCACTATTTCTCACCCAATACTGCAGCGTCCTCCTTCTGTGCTCTGCAGCCCGAGCTCCACCTTCTCAAGGATTTTGCTTTTCATGAATGACGATTTTAAGTCTCTCTTCTGGATCATTTCCATCCGCAGGCAAACAAACTCTAGTGCTATCCATTATAGGAAAAAATGATAACCTTCCTCAGAAGATACCCGCCTCCAGCTACTACAGTCTCTTCCCCTTCACAGCAAGACTTCTCAGAAGGGCTCTCTGCGCTTCTCTCTACTTTGTTGTTCCCCCTAATTTCTTTATGTATTCATTAAAAGTATATATATTTAAACATATGTCTTTAAAATATTACATATTACGTAAATGATATCGTACTATATATACCATTCTGGAACTTGCTTTTTAAATTCTATTTTATTTTTGAGACCTGTCCATGATGATACATCGGCTAGATCGGGTTCATTAATTTTAACTACTGCATAGTATTCAGGCATGTGAATTTAACACATTTTATTTATCCAGAACCCTACTTGGATAATTTAGGTTATTTTCAAGCTTTTTTTTCCTGTTAATTTTTTTAAAATGCTACAATGGATATTCTTATATGTGTGTCCTTGTGTTCATGTGTGAGAATTTCTCTCAGATGTACATCCAGAAATATACCCTGGGTATTAATATCGTTGGGTCATACAGTGTATCAATTTTCAATTAGATAGAACCATATCTTAAATTTTGTCTCTAAAATCTCTTCCTCTTTTTCTTACTTTCAAAATGTTTTTCACAATTTTGAAACTGTGAAATTTGGTATCAGTTTATCTAGTTCTATAAAAAATTCCGTAGAGCTTTTGGTTGAAAGCATTGAATGTAGAGAATAATTTGGGGGAGAACTGACATATTTGTGATTTTATTCAGATCTAGTCTCATGTCCTTCAATAATGTTTTATGACTGTCTTCATAAAAGTCTTCCCATCTTTTGATAGATTTATTCCTGTCTACCTAATAGTTTCTGTTGACATTATCTACAGAATTTTGTTTTTTCACATTTTCTAATAACTAATTAGTTACTGCCAGAGTATGGGAACAATATTGACTTTTGATCTTGCGCTTATATTCAGCAATTGCGCTGTGTTCTCTTATGATTGGTAAATTATTTCGGCTTATCTCTGTATGTAACATTGTCTGCAAACAGCAGTCACTGTTTGTCTTTTGTTCCCAATCGCTTTAGCTCTTCTCTCCTTTTCCTGTCTTCTGGTGGTGGCTGAGACCGCTGCAGTATTGAAGAGCAGGCGTCACTGACGTTCTGACTTCAACAAGAAAGTTGCTAATGTTTCACCATTAAGTATTATATTTATGGTATGTCTTCTTCAGTTTTTAGTTTTAAAATATACTTATTTTTTAACTTGCACATAGTATAAAAGGTCAAATGATTTTTATAGTGGTTGTTCTGACAGAAAAGCAATCCCGTAGTTTTTCAACTCCCTAGAGGTAATAATTTTTTAATTAAAGAAAATTTTAATCATATACAAAAGTAGAGAGAATAACATAAGGAAACCACATGTTTCCATCACACAGCTTTAACAACTATCGATAGATAGCCAATCTTGTTTCATCTATATCTTCATCCACTTCCCCTCTACCCCAAAATTATCTTGACACAAATGTCAAATGTCATATCATTTCATCTCTAAAATTTCAGATGTGTTACTAAGCTTGAGGAGTCTTAAATGTAACTATAACACCTTACCATCCCCCAAACTATTACCATTTTACTAACGTTATCAAATATTCAATCTGCATTCACAATTACTTTTTCCTTTTTTTTTAGTGTCATTCAGTTGATTCCAACTCCTAGCGACCCTGTGGACAGCAGAGCAGAGCCCTGCCCACTTCTTTTGCACCATCGTCTCACCTTCCAGCACTGTGTCAAACAATGGTGTGCTGTTCATAGGGTTTTCATGGCTAATTTTTTTGTAAGTGGGTGGCCAGGTCCTTCCTCCTAGTCTGTCTTAGTCTGGAAGCTCCACTGAAACCTGTCCACCGTGGGGCACCCTGCTGGTGTTTGAAATACAGGTGGCTTAGCTTTCAGCATCACAGCAACACTCAGCCACCACAGTGTGACAACTGACAGACGGGTGGTGTGGTCTCTGACCAGGAAATGAACCCTGGCCGCAGCAGTGAGAGCGCGGAATCTTAACCACTAGACCGTGCGGGCTGGCCTCACCATTTCTTAATTGTCTAATAAAAATGTTTTATTGTCTTAAAATTTTTAACAGTTTTTTTGAATCCAGATTCAAATAAGGTTCAAACATTGGCATTGGTTAATGTGTCCCTTTAGTCTGCTTTTTAGAGATTCCATTTCCATCCTTTGTTTCCTTTGTTCCTTGCAATTTTGATTTTGATGAACCAGACTGTTTCATCCTGTAGAGTTTCCCACAATCTATATTTCGAGACGTGCCCCTCTGGGAAGTTGTTTAGTAAGTTCCTCTGCTTGCTGAAGCCTGATCAGATTCTGGGCAGAATCTTCTTCGGCAAGAGTTCTTCAGAGGTGTTACTGGACGCTTCCGTCCGGGATGCGTAATGTCTGATTGTCTAGCTTTGTGTGATTTGCAGTCATTGATAATTATTGCATAGCTCTGTTAACTAAGCAGGTTTGAAAATTATTGTATTCTATTTCTTCATTGCTAGTAATTTAAATAATTCTGTACAGATAATCTCCATCAACTACTTGGGTGGGTACAGTTTGTGCAGGAAATACAGAATGAGTGCTTAGTACCGTTCCATTATTAATAGTTTTCTTTTTCTAATAATTATTGATATCTCTAGCCAATTTTTCTGTGATGATTGACCTTTTTATTCTCTCTTTTAGAAAATTTATGTACTTTGGTTATTACCCCGTCTGACATTTAAGTTGCAAATATTTTTTTCCCATTTTGTCTTTGATCTTTTTACTTGATTTATGGTAGTTCCTGACGGAGGCCACCATTTTTAACTCATTTAGTAGATTTATTTGCTGTTAACCTCCATATTTCTAAATAACAAACATATACTGTTATTTCTGAATTTTTTGGTTTTAAGCACTGTCTATTGGCCTTCCTTTTGGTAGAAGAGCGTACAGCGCCCTTTGATCACAGACCCACTGCTCACATACATGCTTTCTGCACGACCATCTTCCAAAAATAGTAATGGCAATAGCGACTTGTGGTTCCCCATCTGAGACTGACTTTGTATGAACTAAAAGTTGAATCTTTAGGGAATAATAAAGATTTTTAAAGCCTCCTGTCAAATATTGAAAAATTTAAAAAAGACATGATTCATAGTCAAATAATTTAATCTAATCCTTTACAAAAGGATTCGCTTCTCTGGATTTAAATGTTGGTTTCTACATTACTAACTAGTGGACTAAGAGGCAGAGAAGTCAAAATTGAAATTGTTAGGTGGCATTTCAATTAAAGAAGAAAGAATATATTTTCACACATTCAACTTGAACACCACGTTTTCAGGAATAGACCTATCACAAAAAATAAAACTTGTTTTTAGAATATGTATTTATCAGTATCTCTTCTCTTAATAATCGTCCATTTTGCCAAAAAGGTGAACCCCAAATCCTTCCTGCATTCTTGTGGGCCATTGAAAAAAATGAGGATGTGTGTCCGTCTTGTGCCACCCCATGACCTGGGCGGAAGAAAGGGGACGAGGGCATTTTCCTCCAGCGGCCTCTGGGTGCCCGGCCTGCGGCAGCCTCTGCTTGGGACTCAGAACCCTCTCAGTTTGGTGAGTTACTTGTAAGAGCTGGCGCTGCACAGAGATGCTGGTCCCTTCTTGACACACCCATCACCCACCAGGTGCTGGCCTTTCTGCCTGCCTGGGTAACCTCTGATTCCAGTTCCATAAATATCTAGATGGAGGAAGCAGTCTGGGGAGGATAAGCCATCAAGGGGACTAATGCATCTTTTATAGCTGGGAGCAGGCCTTGGTGTCACCACTGTCCTCTGTTAAGTGGATTTAACCCTGAGATTGATGGAGAGCCAGCAGGTAAGGGGAGTGGGTGTGGATGAAGGGAGGGTGGCCTCCCGTCGGTGTTGATTTCAGGGATTCTCCAAAAGTCTCACTTTGCTCCTCTCACCATAATTTATCTTGTACAGTCACAAGATTTTGGAGTTGAAAGGGACTTGTCTTTTGGTTCAGACCAAGAGGCTGAGGAGTGATGGAAAGAACCTCAGAGACCAACAAGTCCCATTCTCTCATTTTCCAGAGGAAAGTCCAACTGAAAGCCAAAGATGCAAGTGAGGTTCTCAGCATCACAGGTGCGGGAGGGGAGAGCCTGACCGGCCCGAAGTCTCCCCGGGTGCCCTTTCCTCCCCTTCCGAACAGCGCTCCCTCAGGGCACTGCTTCTCTAGCCTGCTGCACGGGAGACGCTCCTGACCAGTTGTACAAGGCACAGACCCCACTGCGGAGGCTCTGATCCACCGCCGTGTGCTGTCTCATCAGTGCAGCTAGTAAAGCCGAGCGGTGCCGGCACGCTCCATAAACTCGTGTCAAACGTTAACTCAGAGCTAATGGGCACAAAGGAATAAACGCATTATCTCCGCCAGCTAACGTTGCCTTATTCTTTTCAAATTTATTGTAGAAACTTTTCGACATTCATAAAAGTAGAGAAAATAGTATAATAATTTGTATAGTATATAATTTGCCTTTTGACAGAGGTGTTCTGGAGAGGAGATGAGAGAAGGGACCCTGCTGCTGCTCAGAATTCCAGGAGCCAGGGTCAGGGGGTCTGCGTGCCGCGTCAGGGAGCCTCTCCAAGGCAGCCCACGGGACAGTGGCTGCGAGAGACGCAGGTGAAGGGACCCAGTGCCCAGGCTCCCAGCGGCCAAGAACAGAGCAGGCAGCTGAAGAGGAGTGGCCCTGAATACAGTGGATGCCCCTGCCCCACCCAGGGCAGAGCCCGGCCCCAAGGAGGAGAGGCGGAGTGAGTGCCAGACAGCGTCCCTGGTCCCTGGCGCTGGGGCTGAGTCTCTCTGGGGTGCTGAGCTCTCCGATGTGGATTCTTAGAGCAGGAGGTCATCCTGGTTTGCTCAGGTAACACTGTCCTTGACTTCCTTGGAGGGACAGTTGAAATTTCCTCCATTAATTATCGTCAGTTCACAAGAAAGTTTTGGTTTTTCTTTTAAGCTCATTGTGGCTATCAGAACTGCAATAAGTTTCCTTGGCGTTTAATGAAATGATGGCAGTGACTCACAGAGGTTAAACGCATAGCAGAGCTTGCTAGTTTCCGGGAAGGCTGGCCCCTAGCGGGCTTAGTGGGCTTGACTGTGGCTAGGAGCCTGGAGAGAACGGCCCTGGGGCAGGGAGGGGAGCTCTTTAGTCGATCCATAGAGCTGATGCGTGCAGGTGGGCAGCATGAGGTGGCCACGGTGTCCATTATTTGTCCCTGATGATTATCATATCCCCAACTCTGACCAGGTTCTTGGCACATAGTGAGTGCTCAATAAATGTTTGTCGGAAGGATAAATGGAAGAGCTGGATAGAACGTGGGACCTAAAGGTGGGAAACCTACTTCTCCTCTTGGGACTCTCATGTAAACTGAGGTAGCTGGGCTGGTTGGTGTGTAAGGTCCCTGCAGCTCCTCTTTTATGGTTCTGTGACGGTTTGGTTGCACAATACCCTCCCCTACGCGGAGCTGTTGGGGCTAAATGTCATCCCTCTCCGGAGATGTTTACAACAGGCCTTCTGAAGAGCAGCGCCAACCAGGGAGGAGCTCTCATTCTGGAAATTCAGAGCTAAAGGGGCCAGGAAATTCACAGTCACGGACCTGATTAGTTTTGTGGGGACAGATTCTGAGCCAGAGTCCCAGTCAGCAGCCGGTATCAGCGACTGCACCACAGGCCATGTCTGGACGTCGTGAGCAGGACCAGGTTCTAGGCTGTGGTGGGGACGTGAGGTCGGGGAACCCATCCTGAAAGGCAATGCCCTCTCTGAGAGCCTCCCACACTGGCCACGCCCACGTGCCCTTCTAAATTCACATCTTCTCTTTAACATATTTCTACCTTCAGCATCTGGGTGTCCTGACTGCCCCCATGCCACGAGAGTCATCGTAGAGCCAAAAACATATTTTTGAAGTACCAACTTAAAATGGAATTGTCAGTCAGTTTCTACAGTGAAGTTTTGATGAAAAGAAGGAAGATACTCTGGGCAAAGGATCACACAGGAGGGTGGATCTGAGTGAACAGTGTGTTGCAGAGACGCACAGATTGATTTTGTTTGTTTGGCTTTTAGTACCTACGCGGGTCCCAGCGCGGTACGGACACTCTCAATTTCTCACTGCAACTCTGGAAAGCTATGTTTAAATTATAACATTTACTAGATATACACTATATGTTATAATAAAACTATTTTATTATGCTTTTTCCTTTCTTAATGGTCTGAGATGATTCAGAGAGGTTATGTGACTGGCCCAAGGCTCCACACAGCCAGTCAGTGAGGAAGCAGGATTCCAAGTCTTTTCCAGAATAGACTCCAGAACTCAGTCTTTCTGCCATCGTGTGCTGCTCTTGGGTACTTGGAAGATATGACATAAAAAGATGGCAGCATCAACATTGCCTACTTAATAAAAACAATATGGTGATAACAACTCATATATACACGCCCTCTGGAGTTGAAAAATTGCTCTGATCTTAATTATCTCTTTGACTCTCTCCATAGTTCTCCAGGGGGTATTCCAGTCCTAATTTTACAGAGAAGGATATTGAGGTTCAGAGGAGCTAATTACTGGGCCAGGATCGCACAGAACGTAAAGACTCATATGGAGGACTAAGGCAAAAACTCTTTGGGGTCTTCATAAGAAGTATAAAGGGATTCTGAGAGCAAAACTTTTGAGACCACTGCTGTAAGCCAATCCTTCTCAGCTTTCCATTTCTGCCTCTTTTTTCCACTCACACAGAATTGAGATGCAGAAACCATAGACTCGCAGAGCTTTAAACATGAAGGGGCTCTCAAGACTTATTTAGCCCATTGGTTTCAGAGTGGAGCCTGAGAGCTCCCCAAGGAGCACCAGGGACTGACTGCCTTGGGGCGAAGGGAAGGCCAGAGGCCGTGGCTGGGGGGACCCCCAGGAAAAATTATTTGTAAAACTGGCACGAAAGCCTCTCTTACAAGGGATTGCCTTTGCTTAGGAAAACACCTAACAAACTGCAGGGAGATAGATGTGAGACCCTGCTGGTAAACAAGGAAGAGATGGTTAAACCACTAGCAAACAGGACTTGGAAAGTGAAGAAGAGTTGGGGGGGGTGGGCAGGGAGGGCTGGTGCTGCGGCTGCAGGCTGGCGCCGAGGCAGCAGAAACGACTTCACAGGGAGGTCTCATCTCAGCTGTCAGCTCTAATGGCCCTCTGAGGTACACGCGTCCTCCCTGCCCCCTACAGTCCCTGCACACAGCTGCCTGGTATGAGGACATTTGGGATGGCGGGGAGGGGATTGAGAGAAGGTTGCACTCTAGATTTTGGTCAATACTGAGGCAGAGATGAAGGAAAAACTGTAAGATGCAGCACGCGCATTTAGCAGAGCCAGACGTTGGAGCCCAGGTGACTAGGGGTAAGCAAGGGCTACTGGACCTCAGACGGTATGTGGCGTGGGGGCTCAGGCGACCTTCTCCAGATCCTGAGGAGCAGGTGAGCCGGTTGATCCCAAAACAAGTGCAGCAGCCCCCGACCAGTCTCTAAACTCCCCCCAGGTGATCCCACTTTTTCTGCTGCCGGATTATTTATCCTGTTCCTTTCACAACTCGTCCCTGTGCACACAGCCACGTGGCTTCCTCCTAATGGAATCAAATCAAAGCTCTTAAGCCTGGCCTCACACACCACTGTCCCTGAACCTTCCGCTTTGGTCAGGCTGGTCTCCCACGACCCCCACGTCCACATTGCTGCCTTTGTCTCCACACCGTGGCTTTGCTGTTTCCTCCCCTGAAAATGCTGTTGGCCTCCTCTTGACTTATCCCAGTTCTACCAGGCCTGAAGGCTCCCCTCCGCTGCCGCTTTGAACAGCAGGGAAGTCTCTGCTTCCCAACCTCACAGAGCAGGTGAACTTGGTCTTGCTGGGAACTCGGTCGCGCTCACTTTTCCGTGCCTTCCTAACGAGGCTGTGAATGCACCACTTGATGCACAGAACCGTTGCTAGCTGTCTCTCGTGTCTTAAATAACCGATGAGCACGTCCCAGGATTTCTGAATTTTACATATTCTGCTTCTTGCAAAATTTATCTCAGATCATGCATCCTCATTTAGGGTTCAGGAAATACAGACTCTGTGCTAGCAGTGCAACTCAAAAAATGTGTGTAACAAGGGTTGCAACTGTGTACCCATTACAAATCTGGGCCTGATAGGCTGGGCGGGGACTGGTGGGCTGGGCGGGGACTGGTGGGCTGGAGGCTACACTTGTGTCAGGCCTTCAATGCAGCGTTAATGACTAGACTCACTGGGGCCAATGGCTGTGTGCAGGGCTCTGACGTGAGATGCTGGGGATCCATGGCCTTGTCCCAACCTCTCAGACGTTGTCTTAGGTGGGAAAGGAATGCGTCAGGGGAGGAAAGGATGAGAGTGGGCACGTGGGCAAGAGACTCACAAAGCGGCATAGCATGGTGGCCCCAGGAGCCAGCTGGGCGGGGATCCTCAGGAGAAGAATGACCTGAAAGAGCAAGTCAAACGACAGAGCCCTGCCACCACATGTGGCTAAAGGACACAGAGCAGAGGCCACTCTGGCTGGGGTCCTTAGAACAGATCCTCACGCTGGGCAGCACTCAGCGGGGTGCCTGTGGAAGCAGAACAGAGAAGTGAGCATGCCTCCTGGGAGGCAGGAGCAGCATCCCTGGCCCTCAGCCCGGCGTGTCTGTCTTGTGATGGGAGAGCCTAGGGGGCGGTGGGGAGATGCCAAACCAGGGGTCCAGGAGCTGCTTGGAGAACATGGGGAACCTCAGACAGGGACGTCACCAGGTGGCCAGAGGGGCTGTGGTTCAGAAGCACAGGTGAGGGGGGCACCCTACGAGGAGCAGAGATTTCAAGCCTGGGATCACAGCAACGTTGCTGACGGGTGGTCCGAGCCAGAGAGCTCCTCATGTTTTTTTTTTTTTGGAGATTTGTAATATTGATCAGTTAAATGGAATCAGTGCACGAAAAAGTGTCAATCGCCTTGAATAACTCATCTTTGGCTGGTAATGACGTGAACAGATTATAGGGCCCCTGGGCTCCTCAAGGCCTGTTTGGGGTACTGATAGCCGTGCAAGGTGAGGCCGCCCGTGAACATGGGGAACAGAAGGCTCGTTGCCTGCCCCTTTAGGAAGAGGCTTGACTGAGTTGTTCTTCTCTCCCAGGCCCTCTCCCCCGGAGCTTCATCGCAGACGTGCCGAGGGGTTACCTCTACAATGCACAGTTGCCTTCTCACGCCCTGTTTTCTTCCCGGTTGCCCTCCTTGAGTCCTTTGGATGCAGTGGAAGCTAGGCAGGCAATTTCCTTATCTATAAAATGCGGACGCTTCGTAACCCCTTGCAGGTTTTTATGAAGATTAGAGATTACCTGTGCATGTGCCTAACAGATCTTAGAACATAGTAAGTGTTCAATGAAACGCACAGCATGTTATTTCTAATGCTGCTGCTCTTCTCTGCTCCTCCTCCTGGCTCTGCTTCCTTTTCTCTTTTTAGAAAATGAGCATACAGGTGGAAACCCAAGATTTAAAACACATTTCTGTTAGCTGTAGCTTCTTTTCTTATTCTTTCATGGAGGGGTAATGATGGTGTGAGGAGGCAGAGATGGAAGACTTCAGCGAGCTAAGCCCTCGGGTGAGACCTGGCCGTCGCTGACAGTGCCATCCGCCTCCACGCTCTCGCCTCGCTAATCCCCCAGGTGTGTGGTGGAAGCCATTTATAAGCCCCTCTCTCCTCGTTTCTCCTCCATTTTTTAAAATCACTTCTGCATGAAACTAATTCATCAACACTCTACCAGCTGCTGGGGTGAAGGAAATGGGAAACGTAATCTTTTCAGGGAAGGTGAAATAGAGGTGAATTAATTTAAGAACACCTAAACTCAACTTTACCCACGTCTTAGGTCCATGCCAGATTTAAAAGACAATCCTCCCCAATTTGTAGTCTACAGACCTCCAGCACCACAATCTTCTGGGGTTCTTGTCTGGAAATGAAAGGCAGACTCCCGCGCCTCCCCCAGGCCTACCACATCAGTCTTTGGTGGCGAAAACCCCGGAGTTAGATTTTAAATAAGCTCCCCATCAAAATTTGAGAATCAACTAGAACATAGGAAATATAAAGGAGTGTAATTTATGTCTTTAGGAAGCTCACAATAAGGCGGAGATGATAAAAAAGCAGGAAGGTGATAAATCACTGTGTGCTTTAGAGCGACCCTCCGGCAACAGTGCGCAGGACGGGCGTGAGAGGGAAGCTGGAGGCGGGAGGTCTGTTCAGAGGTGCTGGCAGTAAGCCTAGCATGAGATAAGACCTAGGGGTGCTGAAAAGGGAGGAACAGATGCCACACGTCAACCCCCGTCATAGAGGTGGTTTTTTATTGCAGGCAGTCACCAATTCTTTTTGGAAGTTGAAGGGCTATAGATGATAAACAAATAAAAAGTATGAAATAGTTAGAAAAAATTGATTCCATTTATGCCAGCAGAGCCCTCTGTGCTGGAGAGATGACGGTCTGCCTTTTGTGAGTGTAATCCAAAATAAAACAACACTGAAGGCTCAAATGAACGCTGAAATTTAAAACCTCTCTAGACTCTCCAATTGCAGTTTTCTGGGTAAATTCACTACAGCTGCCCTTTTCTTATCTTTTTGGTTCCTCTGCTTTGCTGAGCCCTAAGCATGGGCTTAGTCTTTCTTTGAAGTTATCGGACCAGCTCAGGGGGCAGGGTGGGTGGAGATAAATTAGAAGGTACTTTGCGGGGGGTGGGGGGTTGGTGGTGAGCATCGAGCCGGATTTCAGGTGGGATAAGAACATGGACTAAAAGTAAGGAACAAAGTCGTTGTGGGAAGTGAGACTGACGGGGGCGGAGGCACTGCAGCCTCTGGACAGAGGTGAAGTCAGCCCAACTGTTCTAGAATCTAGCAAAGTGAGCTGCATCAGAAATGTGAGTGTCCCTCCAGAGTGGGGACGGGCTGTCTTTGTTCTCGTGTTCCACTGCAGTCATCGTCGGGGGCACGGGGCTCTGAGACCTCAGAAGAATGCACCCCTTGACTTAGGGGAAAGGGCCAGAAAATGCCACTGGCTAAAATGAAGTCAAATGACCATCAGAAAATGGATGTACTTGGCCATCTTTAGACGCTGATCTTAGGGGATGCTTTTCCACGTGAAGCCAATGAGTCTGAACGGGAGATTTAAACACAGATCAGTACCTGAAAGGCTCTGATAAATCCTGTAGTTTTATGTTTTTCTTGCCTATTTTATTTTAGTTATTTATTTTTGGTGTGGAAGATTGGCCCTGAGCTAACATCTTTGCCAGTCTTC